TATATATATATATATATATATATATATATATATAAGTGGACTGCTTCTGCCTTAAAACTCTTATCCCCAAAATTTTACAGCATTTCATACAAATGATTTCATGAAAATATTCAAACTGTTCATTTAGAAGCCTTCATATGCAAATGAAAACTGCAGCAGCAGCTATATGTAGTGCTTATGGTGCAGCCAGCGGTACTTCTCACAAGAATATCATAACATTTCTGTATGGAAAACAATGTAAAGTAAAATTTACAAGCTGTTAAAGTGTATAATGCAGTGTTTATATGAACCACAGTGAAACATTTTAAATTGGAGGTATTTTAAGATGGCAGAACCCCACTTTGGTCCTGGTTAGCTGTTAGTTCACTGGTTTTGTTGGAATGAAACTGTTTGACAAAACTAAACTTGTTCAAAGAGCTATCTGTAGCAAGTAAGATATTTATTGTTCATAACATATTCACAGAACCCCACTTCCAAGATCTGAAATATCCGTTTTGACAAAAGCGTAGATAATCACTGACCTCTGCAACTAAAGCATTTAAAGTTTTTACAAGAACACAATATGAAAGCTCTTGTTCATTTGATCTTTCAGGTGTTTTTAGTCTGAAGAAAATCTTGAAAATTAAAACATCTACTTTTGTACTAAAAACACTGTGGGTTTGTTTGTGTCACTGAGACATGAACTCTTCCTCACATTCCCTGAGAACGTAATCTAAATGAAATTACAGCTTAAAAAAGACAAGATGTGCCTAAAAGAGGAAGAAAAAAAAAACGTGTACTCTGCATCCATCCTTGCTCTCGTCTGGGTTTATGCACCTGCCAGACTTCATTTACAGGTGTCGACTGATTCTCTCACTGGACGGTCCCGGAGACTGACCAAGTGACCTTAACCTTCCACACCCCTGTGCCACAGACACCCCCACACACACCCAAACACACACACATGCCCCTGTCCCCAGGGGTTGGTGGAGTTTGTTCAGGCTGAAAAACAAAGACGAGCATTATTCTTCTATACCATAGCAGACTCAGGCGAGGGAGGGGGAGCTTTCATAATTTATCATAGCTGTTCATCAAAATATTTAGACATTTCTTTCCCTTCTTTGCAAACCACGTTACTTATACACAACTTTATACACATGGGGTATTATATTTCACGATGTGACACGGTATAAGAAGCCGTACGGTGGACTTGTTTACATACAAATCTATTAAGAGGACTTGGCAGTGTGTATTTGTCGCGTTATGCTTCTCATAATACTCTTGGCAACATTTAGGTTTGGTGGTCTGCCTGTGCAGGGGTGAAAGGGTTTACAACAATGCATCAATCTCTGTTATGTCTTACTGTCCTGGTCCTGAGTTAGCGCAGGGCAAACAGGGAAGTCTTCCCATAAAGACGAAGACGAAGAAAAAAACCTCTGTGTTTGCATTGCTTTCCTCAGCGCAGTGACTGATGGAAGACCAGAAGCCACAGTGAGGAAAAGCACCGGAGTTGAGCGCACTGTTCCCCCACATCAACACTCCAGTTAGACAAATAAGGCCTCACCCCCGCACCCCCTCGCTCTTTCCTTCCCCGTTCTGTGGTCTGCAGAGGATGCAGCTCCGTAAACTTAAAGTTTCTGCGTGTAACATAAGTTTGGAGAGGTTTTAGGAGCAAAATGTGTCATTTATTTAAACCTACACAGCATTTGGACTCAGTCAGAGACAAGTCAGCTGCTGGAGTTCACCTCCTGGTGTGTGCCTGCTCACAACCTGAAGCTTCAATGGAGCTAACTCCCTCTAGAGGTGATAACATGAGATGCTGAGGATTCTCACATCGCTGCATCCCTGCAGCTCCAAATGCAAAAAGAAGAAGAACTGAGTGGAGCCCTCCTAAATAAATAAAAACTGAATGAATAAACAGAACAGTTACAGTGAGAGCAGTAACTTTAAACACATAGGTGTGTTCGTGCAGAAAGTAGATCTAAAACCACTGATCAACTCTCTCTCCCCCTCTCGCTGGGTGCGGAGGGGGGCGGGGGCATGCCCTCTAAATAAACTTTAGAGCTCATACCGGGAGAAAAGAGAGGCAGCAGAAGGCTGAAGTCATCAGCAGCAGCAGGAGAGAGGACAGTGGGTTCCTGCAGTCGAGGCGCTGAAAGGTGCGGGGATTGACCTTGGCTGCGGCTCAGTGCGCGTGGAGATCAGGAGGAGACGTCAGACACTCTGAGCTTTATTTGTCATTTCTGGTGTTCATACTCTTGTTTTTCTGTGCTCAGTCTGATGCTGAGGTGAGACCCTCCGCGCGCTTATCATATCAGCGATATCGACACACGCGCGCTCCGGGACGCACGGCGCATCTCCACAGAGAGCACTCCGCGGACGGAGTTATAAAGTCTCCGAGTGATGGAAAGTCACGTTGATGCTTCTTCTCGTTTGTTTTAAACTCCACGGCGATGTTTGGTTCCGTGCTGCTCCTCCTCGTGCGCAGCAGATGACAGTGAGGCGTTTGGGTGCGTTTGGGTGCGTTTTCAAGGGGATGTTCTTCACAGCTGCGAGGAGAAGGGCGCACTGACTCAGCCTGGCACATATGTGGACCCCATCCAGGATGTTACAGTCTAAACGGCCCAGGCAACATTGGGCCGCCGTGCACCACCACCAACACACATCACCCCCCAGCTGGGCATCCCGCTGAGTTGATCTGCGCTCCAGCTTTGGCCTCCTTTTGTTGGAGAAGGAGGAAAACGCGAAATTAATTTAACAACCCCATTAACAATAAGACTCTTCTCTGGGCTACTATGCAATTACAACTGATCTCCTTTGTGTTGATCATCTTGCACTGCATGGATTACAGTTGTCAGCAGCACAGCAGCTCCAGGCACCGGACTCATAAATGTGAGTAGAAAAGTTTCTCTCTCAGCATAAAGGCGCACTCTTGAGAGAATTAAAGAATGACTGAAGCAAATTCCAGACCTGAAAATCTGTAAAGTGTTTTATTTTGTCAAGAAAAACTTATTATCCATATTTTGTTTTATTTTGTTTTACTGTGTGGACCACTTTTTATGGCACAAACGCTCAAAACCATCAAGACAAAACACAACTAATGTTAGAAGACGCGTTCTGGGGACATTTCCTGGATTAATATTTACAGAAAGTGTGAAAAGTATTTTAAACACGACTTTCTTCTCATCAAGTGCGCATTGCAGTCAAGCGATTTAATCTGCGTAATTAACCCGACACATTAGAAGTTTAATGTTGATTTTTATGTCTAATTTTATGGTTTTATTTTTTTTTAACTCCCATTGGTGAAAGGTGATTTTTATTAGGACTTAATTGGGTCGTGAATGAAGTGCGGTGCCAGCTGTGCGCAGCCGCGTCTTTGCTCCCCGGCTCTCCTGCGCCGCTCTCTAGCGGTCAGAGCGGCAGATTTCAGGCTCACCCCTGATAATTCATGCCTTACTTTCTATATTTGGTGAGATCATTAGACCTGCTGCGTTTTATCTTTCTTAAGAGCCCCCAACCCGGTGACACTGGGAAATAAAATCAAAAATTTGTATTGGGCCAGATTTTCTTTGTTTTGCACTCACGCTTTGAGACTGAGGGCCTCCAGATGTGCTCTGTGACTAACTCTGTTAGCGAGGAGCAATGATAACTGGAAGATTCCACGCATCACTTGCCAGCGTGTCTAAAAACTGTCTGTGATCCACAGTAATCATCTCCTGGAGTGGTGTTTTTATTCATGCCACCTGGGAATGAGAGCTCCCTCTGTGCTTCTCTGGGTTTGGATTTCCACTCTGAATACTTTCTGCTGTCAGATTTACCCACTGCAACTAATAAGATTATTGTTTCCACTTAAACATGTGTTTATAGTGGAACTTCTTGCCATTGTTTCATCTAGACTCTTCAGAGCATGAGGGTTGCACACAGCTGTAGAGGTGAAAGCAGGGAGGTTTGATCAGAACTTCTTTTTTTTTTTTTTTACGTGAAAGTCTTTTACATGTTCTTGAAATAAACGATTCTGTAAAATGTTTACAGGCTGAAAAAAAGAAAAGAAAGCATCAGCATTCCTTGAAAGAGTGCATCTCCTGTCACCTTCAATGTCTGACCGAACTGAACTGGTCAAACCTGATAAAATCGTGTTATCTATGATCTCACACAGTTTTGTGAAATCTGTTAGCACTCAGTGTGTGTTGTAAATAACTCTCAGCTACTACCACACCAAATTTCAGCACATCTGTAAAACTGACTGAGTCATGACCATTTTTGCGTAGGCACCCAGTTGTTGTCATCCTGAATTAAGTTGAGTTTAACATTTATCTCATTTTAAAAGCAATAATGACAATAATAATACAATTTATTTCAAGAAACCAAGGGACACTTCACAAAAGGGAATAATTAGCAAAGTGAAGTGTTGAACGATTATTGAAGAGGTGTCTTAGGAGTGTCTTGAAGAAGTCCAGTGGTGTCCTATTGTGCAGTTTACATGGAAAAGAGTTCCAGTGGGAGCTGCCACAACAAAGGCTCTGTCCCAAAAGCTATGGAGGTTGACAGAAAGTAAGGCTGAGGATTGGTGTGTCTGAGATGGGTGAAGGAGATCTAACGGCCATGAGCGGTCGAGGCATTGAGGGATTTGTACAAGGGTAGGAGGATCTTGTAGGCAACATGAGATATGACACAAAATCAGAGGAGTTTTGTGAAAATGGCAGTAAAATGTTGGTAATACTTCTGTTAAAAGTGTAGGAGATGAGTTCTGGAGCCTCCTTGAGGACCACACTGCCATAATCCAGACTGGTTGAACCAAAGTCTCAGCTACAGAGTAAACTAAAGATGGACACGGTCTTGCCATGTCCTTCGTGTGAAACAAGCAATACCCCACAGTCCACTGTCACTGAGGGATTTGAATAGTGAGTGTTTGTAATTTTGAAGATGAGTGTTTTTTGGACTGGGATTGAGCAGGGAATGTAAGGAAACCTTTGGTGCAAGATAATCAAGAGGGTAGGAGTTACACTGTGGAGAAGAACAGAGGTAAGTGTTTTTTTTATTGTATTTTATTTTATTGCTTGTCTGTAGCAGAGTGATGGATCCTGGAGAGTGGAGGGAGCAATTTTATTCATCATCAGGTGCAATGGTGGAGCCAGAGGGTGGCTAATGGTGGCCATGCTACCACAGATTAATCTTCAGCCACCCCAATCATTGTGGAAACCATACTTTTAAGCAATATCAAAACTAGAAGGCATAGTTTCCTCAAATGACTGGGGTGGTCAGTTTACCTGTCTATATGGTGTTGGCTATGTTGGATTTTGATGTGGCAACCCAGTTTTCGAGAAGGACATTTCTTATGCCTAGATGCAGCCACACACCAAAACGGAAGTCAGTACCTCACTTAGTTTTAAAGGGATCATGCTCACAACATTAACAGATAGACAGACTTTTCCAATTCCCCCACTTCGCTCTGCAACAGGAGACAACAAGTGGCTTTGGTGACAGATCTGATGTGAGCCTGAAATTAAAGTGTGGAGTCACGGTTACAACCATCTTGGGATGGAGCAGTCATCAATGTCATGGACTAGGACTTCAGTTTCCTGGTTTTGGTGGCCACAACCAGGAGTTCTGTTTCGTTATCCTTGACCTTGACTACGTTTAACAACATCCATGTGTATATTCAAACAGTTGACAACTGATTTTGTGGGAACTGAGTGGAAGGTTTGGTCCTAAGTTGCGAATCATCAGCAAACTGAAGCATAGATCAAAGGTGGTGTGCAGATAGTAAAACGAAAGTGTCCGAGGAGCGAACCTTGATGTACATCTAATGATTTCTTCTTGAGAGCTGCATTAAAATCCACCACGTGGCTCATGAAATATTTAACTAACATGACAGGCAAAAATATTAATGTCCACCTTTCAGTTTTTAGCAGCGAGTGTAGCTAAAGTCATTTGTGATGTAGGTGGGATGGCAGGGATGCAGTATTCCTTTATTTTTAAGTAAAATGATGATGACCACCACCACCGAACCACCCACACCACCCCTCTGACCCAGGATAGGATCAATTTTCTCCTTCTAGGAATTCAGACTTCCGCCGGTATCTAGTGCTTTCTACTTGGATGATGGAGGGGATAGTTGGTGAAGAAGTACAGACCTTAGAGAGAGGAAAAAGGAGGGTGAAGGGGGCAACAGTGACTGAGTTTGGGGGAGGATGGGGTGGGGGTGGGGTGGGGGGGTCAATGACCATTCAGTTAACAGGCATGACACAGATGGAGCCCAAGCCCCAAACTTCCTGTGCTGATGCCTCAAAACAAAGGTCTGGGTACAGACAGTGTATCATCTAGCCTTTTCTGGGGGGGGGGGGGGGTTATTCATCTGTCCCCATTGATTGTTTGTTTTCTGTGCTTGAAAATCTGTTTATGTCACGTGTGATTCTGTTGATGTGTTGCGCAAGACGCTGCCATCCAGCTGAGGTTTTGTCGGCGCAAAGTGAAAGGGCAGGGCCGAATTCCTGCATCTGAGGTTTCTGTGAATCAGGGGTGGCTTGGCAGGAACACGTCTGGGCAAACGGACAACACTTGTAAAGACGGTCAGGATATTTCAAACAAAGCATCTATGATCTATGGTTAACTGGCAGCTGAACCCTGAACTGAGCAACACAGCGAGTGTGAGCCAATGGGATGCCAAGACAGGAGAGGAAAAACCAAATTCCTGTGTGCTTGGGTTGTTTTTAATCTACCTACCATATGTGACAACATTTTTAAAACACTTTTGGGAAATACAAACTGATGCGGTTGGACCGATATATAAAAATACGGGACATGTCTTGTGGTTATTCAGTGTTTACAGTTGCTAGCATCACATGCAAATGTGTCGGACACATGCTGAGCTTGCTTTCACAAACACAAGAACTTTGCACCACGTTTAATTTTAGATTATATATCTGACAGCAATGTGGCAAAGCTGTTGCTTCATATACAGAATTAGCTCCAGATATTAAGATGAAACTCGATTTCAGTGTAGCTGATGGTCCTCCTCATCACGTACTGTGAGTGCTACCTAATTTCTCAAAATCTTTGCCTAAAACGTTGTCATGCAAAGTGACAAGTAAAATGCTTTCCTTCATTTCATGTGTAAATGGCATTTCTTGGATCTGTTGTGTTACCGCTTTGAGTCATGCTATCACATCATGTTGCTCCAAATCTGTTATCCAGTGGGCACTAAAGAGAAATGTCAGATCTTTTGAAGTGGGGTTTCTGAAAAGGTTAACAACTATTTTGTCTTACTTGTTCTAACAGCCTTTAAGAAAACATCAGTCTGAAGAAACAGAGTTTATTTTTAGGCAAGATTGATGAGCGAACGACTGGTCCAGATAAGGCAAAGGCCAAGGTGAACAGCTGCTATTCAGTAAAATGCATATATAATATCTTAAAACAACTCCAGTCACAAAAAAATTCAAAGCAGTTCAAGTACACAGTTCTTAACAACCTTAATCCTGTTGTTACTTTCAAAATAAATACTTAAGCTGTCAAATACTGGTTAAAGATGTTTCTGTTGAGTACACCAGAAGAACTGTCTTTTCAATTCCTCATATATGTACAGTATATATAGAGATATAAGGATGGATGGATGGATGGATGGATGGATGGATGGATGGATGG